CAGAAAAAATGCAGCCTGTTCTACTTTTTTCTTCTGCACCCGGAACGCACTGGAACTGCAAGCCCTGATGTGAACTATGACACTGACACCCAGATCACCGACTTTTTGTGCGTTTTGGATGCAGAAAAAAAGCAACTGAAACGCATGGAGTGTGAACCGGTCCTGAAAGTATTTTTTCCACTGCAGCAGACTTTATTGTATCCTCTTATTTATGGCCCCTAGTACTCTATGTGACCTACACATCCCATTGCCTGCCAGTCCACTTACAGGAAAATTCCAACAAGGTATTTCCAGGCCGGTGTTTCATCTATTTTTGTAGGTGCTCCAGAGAACTGTCAGCCGCACTGTGACAGAGTATTTGTAGATATCACAGAGCGCAGATCAAGAACCGACACAGTGCAAGCACGCTATAGACACACATGTACAGCCTGAGCACAGAGCGCCAATCTGTGCAATACGCACACAGACATGAGATCAGATCTTCTGCAGAACTTTCCGCTCACCCACACACGGCTCTGAACTCCTCCCCGATAATGCAGGAATTTCACAGATTTGTGAGATCAGCAAAGACCCCGAGATTAGATCTACAGCTCAACACAAATCAGAGCGTGAAAGGAGCGAGGTTTACCTGATCGATCATTTATCTATCTATTATCTATCTATCTATCTATCTATCTATCTATCGCCAAAAGTATTGACCCCGCCCTCCCAATCATGTGATTCAGGTGTTCCAATCCCCTCCATGGACACAGGTGTATACAATCAAGCCCCTAGGCATGCAGACGGATTCTACAAACATTGGTGAAAGAATGGGTCGCTCTCAGGAGCTCAGTGACTCCAAGCGTGGTCCCGTGATAGGTGGATACCTGGGCAATAAGTCCATCCGTGACATTTCCTGGCTACTAAATGTTCCACGCTCAACTGTTAGTGGGATTATAACAAAGTGGAAGCAACTGGGAACAACAGCCACTCAGCCACCAAGTGGTATTCCACGTCACATGACAGGGCGGGGTCAGCGCATGCTGAAGCGCACAGTGCGCAGAAGTCGCCAACTGTCTGCAGAGTCAATAGCTAAAGACCTCCAAACTTGGTGTGGCCTTCAGATGAGCCCAACAACAGTGCGTAGAGAGCTTCATGGAATGGGTTTCCATGGCCGAGCAGCTGCATCCAAGCCTTCCATCACCAAGTGCAATGCAAAGTGTCGGATGCCGTGGTGTAAAGCACGCCGCCACTGGACTCTAGAGCAGGGGAGACGTGTTCTCTGGAATGACCAATCACGCTTCTCTGTTTGGCAATCCGATGGACGTGTCTGGGTTTGGCAGTGGCCAGGAGAACAGTACTTGCCTGACTGCATTGTGCCAAGTGTAAAGTTTGGTGGAGGTGGGATTATGGTGTTGGGTTGTATTTCAGGGGGTGGGCTTGGCCCCCTAGTTCCAGTGAAGGGAACTCTTAAGGCGACATTTTGGACAATTTCATGCTGCCAACTTTGTGGGAAGAGTTTGGGGATGGCCCCTTCCTGTTCCAACATGACTGCGCACCAGTGCACAAAGCAAGGTCCATAAAGACATGGAGGAGCCAGTTTGGGGTGGAGGAACTTGACTGTCCTGCACAGAGTCCTGACCTCAACCCCATAGAACACCTTTGGCATGTTGGAACAGGAAGGGGCCATCCCCAAACTCTTCCCACAAAGTTGGCAGCATGACCTCTCCGCGGCCTTTGACACAGTCGACCACCCCCTCCTCCTTAATAAGCTACTCTCCCTTGGCATCAGAGACTCCGCTCTCTCCTGGTTCTCGTCCTATCTATCCCAACGCTCCTTCAGCGTTTCCTACAACGATGCCACCTCCTCTTCCCTCCCCCTCTCTGTTGGGGTCCCCCAGGGCTCTGTCCTTGGACCCCTTCTCTTCTCCATCTACACCTCCTCCCTTGGCAAACTCATACACTCCCACGGCTTCAATTACCACCTCTACGCTGATGATACTCAAATCTACCTATCCCACCCCTCACCTCACCCCCACATTCTCCGCCCGCATCACTCACCTCCTAAACGACATCTCTGACTGGATGTCGCTCCATTTCCTGAAGCTCAACCTCTCCAAAACCGAGCTTCTCGTCTTCCCCCCAGCCCGCGCCCCCCACCCCCATCCTTTCCATCACTACCAACTTCACCACCATCAATCCTGCCCAGCAAGCCAAGGTCCTTGGAGTCATTCTGGACTCAAACCTTTCCTTTCAACCTCATATCAAATCACTCACAAACACATGCAGGCTCCACCTCCGGAACATCGCCAAGATACGCTCCTTCCTTACCCCAGACACCACTAAACTACTTGTACACTCCCTGATTATCTCACGCCTGGACTACTGCAACTCCCTCCTCACCGGCCTACCCCAGTGCAGGCTCTCCCCGCTTCAGACCATCCTGAACTCAGCTGCCAGACTCATCCACCTCACCAGCCGCTCCACCTCTGCCACCCCCCTCTGCCTCTCCCTCCACTGGCTCCCCATTGCCCAACGCATTAAATTCAAATTGCTCACCCTGACCTATAAGGCCATTCACAAGACTGCCCCTAACTACCTCACCGACCTGATTCCCAAGTACCACCCTACCCGTACCCTTCGCTCTTCACAGGACCTCCTTCTATCTTGCTCCTTGGTCTCCTCCTCCCACGCACGACTGCAAGACTTCTCCAGGTCCTCCCCCATCCTCTGGAACTCACTACCCCAAACCACCAGACTGTCACCTTCCCTCCTCACCTTCAGGCGCTCCCTGAAAACCCACCTCTTCAGGGAAGCCTACCCCACCCTCACCTAACAGCCGCTGCCCTTCCCTCCTCCTACCACTCCATCCCCCACAGCCATTTCCTCCTGTACCACTACCCCCTCCCTCCTAGATTGTAAGCTCAAAAGAGTAGGGCCCTCTTACCCCTCGTGTGCTGTTTGATGTTACTGTACTGTTTCATGTATTGTCCCCCCTCTATTGTACAGCGCTGAGCAAACCCTTTGGCGCTATATAAACTAGATAAATAAATAAATTAAATAAATAAATTAGAGCGGAGACTGCGAGCCAGGCCTCCTCCCCCAACATCAGTGCCTGACCTGACAAATGTGCTTCTGGAAGAATGGTCCAACCTTCCCATAGACACCCCCCTAAACCTTGTGGACGGCCTTCCCAGAAGAGTTGAAGCTGTTATAGCTGCAAAGGGCGGGGCCAACTCAATATTGAACCCTATGGACTAAGACTGGGGGGCCATTAAAGGTCATGTGTGTGGAAAGGGCGGGGCCAACTCAATATTGAACCCTACGGACTAAGACTGGGAGGCCAATAAAGGTCATGTGGATGGAAAGGGCGGGGCCAACTCAATATTGAACCCTACGGACTAAGACTGGGGGGCCATTAAAGGTCATGTGCGTGGAAAGGGTGGGGCCAACTCAATATTGAACCCTACGGACTAAGACTGGGGGGCCATTAAAGGTCATGTGCGTGGAAAGGGTGGGGCCAACTCAATATTGAACCCTACGGACTAAGACTGGGGGGCCATTAAAGGTCATGTGCGTGGAAAGGGTGGGGCCAACTCAATATTGAACCCTACGGACTAAGACTGGGGGGCCATTAAAGGTCATGTGGATGGAAATACTTTTGACAATTTATCTATCTATCTATAAATGTTAGGTGATCTCCTATGGTGCGGGGCGTGTTTACAGCGCTGGGTGCGGCAGCTCATTGGGCACTTACCGGTGTTGTTCTGCTGGCAGTCCTGAGGGTTACACTTCTGGATGTTCTCCGGCCACGGTTCGTGGTCACACAGATAATTATCCTCCTCGGCCGCCCCCGTCCTTTTGTTCACACACTTCACCTGCCGACGCTGGATTCCCCCTCCGCAGGAAGCTGTGCACTAAATGCAGCCAAAGCGTGAAGACAGCCCAGAAAGAAGAAGAAGACAGTGAAAAGGACTGTGAGGGGCTCAGACCTGACCCCAATGTAAATGTGTGCTGCATAAAGCTGGTTAATCCCGCAGCCTTCTAGCTGTGCAGAGTGAGGTATGACCAGCACCGGAGTCCACTTACCTGGCCCCAGGGCCCTACAGCCCATGTAGTACATGGATGTTCATTGCAAGGACGGCTGCCATTGGGTTTCAGACTTTCATCACAGCGCGCCCGGTCTGAGGGCAGGTGACCAACCTCTGCTGCATGCCACCGCCGCACTCCTCCGAACACTGCAGGGCGTACAAAGTGAAGACATAAGATTGCAGGACTGCCTGCAGGAGACTGGGACTACGTGATTAACCAGGTATGGTCTGATTAGCACACAAGATATTGTTACCTTCAATGACTAGTAAAAATGAAAAGAAAAGTAGTCTAATCCGTAACAGCAAAATTTATCTCATAAAATGCTATAGTTCAAATATATTTGAGGTATTGAGTGCCCCTTATATCAGGTGCCCTTATCAAAGGGCCCCCCTTATTTCAGGTATTCCCATCAAAGTCCCCCCCTTACATCAGGTGACCCCATCAGAGTCCCCTTATATCAGGGGTCACCATCAGAGTACCCCTTACAATAGGTGTTCCCATCACAGAGCCCTCTTACATCAGGTGTCCCTATCACAGTCCCCCTTACATCAGGTGTCCCCATCAGAGTGCCCCCTTACATCAGGTGTCACCATCAGAGCGCCCCCTTACATCAGGTGTCACCATCAGAGCGCCCCCTTACATCAGGTCCTCCTTACATCAGAGTGCCCCCTTACATCAGGTATCCCTATTAGAGTCCCCCTTACATCAGGTGTCCCCATCAAAGTGCCCCTTACATCAGGTGCCCCATCAGAGTGCCCCTTAGATCAGGTGTTCCCATCAGAGTGCCCCCTTAGATCAGGTGTCCCCATCAGAGTACCCCCTTAGATCAGGTGTCCCCATCAGAGAGTCCCCTTAGATCAGGTGTCCCCATCAAAGTGTCCCCTTAAATCAGGTGTCCCCATCAGAGTACCCCCCTTTCATCAGATGTCCCCATCAGAGTACCTCCTTACATCAGGTGTCACCATCAGAGTGCCCCCTTACATCAGGTGTCCCTATCAGAGTCCCCCTTACATCAGGTGTCCCTATCAGAGTCCCCTGTTACATCAGGTGTTCCCATCAGAGTTGCCCCTTACATCAGGTGTTCCCATCAGAGTGCCACCTTACATCAGGTGTTCCCATCAGAGTCCCCCTTACATCAATTTCCCCATCAGAGTGCCTCCTTACATCAGGTGTCCCCATCAGAGTGCCCCCTTACATCAGGTGTCCCCATCAGAGTGCCCCCTTACATCAGGTGTCCCCATCAGAGTGCCCCCTTACATCAGGTGTCCCCATCAGAGTCCCCCTTACATCAAGTTTCCTCATCAGAGTGCCTCCTTACATCAGGTGTCCCCATCAGAGTGCCCCTTTACATCAGGTGTCCCCATCAGAGTGCCCCCTTACATCAGGTGTTCCCATCAGAGTCCCCCTTACATCAATTTCCCCCATCAGAGTGCCTCCTTACATCAGAGGTGTCCCCATCAGAGTGCCCCCTTACATCAGGTGTCCCCATCAGAGTCCCCCATTAACATCAAGTTTCCTCATCCCCCTTACATCAGGTGTCCCCATCAGAGTGCCCCCTTACATCAGGTGTCCCCATCAGAGTTCGCCCCCCTTACATCAGGTGTCCCATCAGAGTCCCCCTTACATCAAGTTTCCCCATCAGAGTGCCTCCTTACATCAGGTGTCCCCATCAGAGTGCCCCCTTACATCAGGTGTCCCCATCAGAGTGCCCCCTTACATCAGGTGTCCCCATCAACAGAGTGCCCCCTTACATCAGGTGTCCCCATCAGAGCGCCCCCTTACATCAGGTGTCCCCATCAGAGCGCCCCCTTACATCAGGTGTCCCCATCAGAGTGCCCCCTTACATCAGGTGTCCCCATCAGAGTGCCCCCCTTACATCAGGTGTCCCCATCACAGTCCCCCTTACATCAGGTGTCCCTATCACAGTCCCCCTTACATCAGGTGTCCCTATCACAGTCCCCCTTACATCAGGTGTCCCTTTCACAGTCCCCCTTACATCAGGTGTCCCTATCACAGTCCCCCTTACATCAGGTGTCCCTATCACAGTCCCCCTTACATCAGGTGTCCCTTTCACAGTCCCCCTTACATCAGGTGTCCCTTTCACAGTCCCCCTTACATCAAGGTGCACGATGACCTTTGCAGAACTCTTCTCTGTCCTGCCATTGTGTAAGCTGTGTGTCCCTCAGCAGCTGGGAAGTTCACATACACAGTAAGGACCCAGTACTTTTAGTAAGACCTCATGCACACTGGGCATCAAACACATCGCTTTTAGGGGCAATCGCCCCCCCCCATGTTAGCCTATGGGGAGGATTTAATGAAGGTGGTGCAGCTCTGCGTAGTAACCGATCATCTCCCATGTTTTTAGCCCTGGTTCACACCGGTGTGACCTGTCATGCGATTTGACAATTTCAATCCACATGACAAGTTGCACCCTATTTTCGGCAATGGAACCGTTCAAATCGGTGGAGTCGCACTGATTCTGAGAGTAGTTCCTTCGCTAATTTTTGCGATTTCAGGTTCAACTTGCAGAGACATCTGTGCATAAAGTCACACACATGTCTGCCAAGTCACACGGACATGTCACTTTGAGAGTGAAATCGCATGATTGCAAATTCAGATCCAGTGTGAACCCGGGCTTATATCAGTGTTCTCCAAACTGTGGCCCAGGGGCCGGATGCGACCCTTTGCTTGCCATTTTCTGGCCCTTGGGGCACTATTTCTCTCACATTACCAGTGGGGCACAGTTCCTGACACCAACAGTGGGGCACTATTCCTGGCACTGACACCAAAAGATAAGACACCATTCCTTCCACTGGCACCAATGATAAGGTACTATTCCTCCCACTGACACCAACAGTGGGGCACTATTCCTGGCACTGACACCAATGATGGGGCACTATTCCTCCCACTGACACCAATGATGGGGCACTATTCCTTCCACTGGCACCAATGATAAGGTACTATTTCTCCCACTGACACCAATGATGGGGCACTATTCCTCCCACTGACACCAATGATGGGGCACTATTCCTCCCACTGACACCAATGATGGGGCACTATTCCTCTCATTGACATCAACGATGGGGCACTATACCTTCCACTGACACCAATGATGGGGCACTATTCCTCCCACTGACACCAATGATGGGGCATTATTCCTCCCACTGACACCAATGATGGGGCACTATTCCTCCCACTGATACCAATGATGGGACACTATTCCTCCCACTGACACCAATGATGGGGCACTATTCCTCCCACTGATACCAATGATGGGGGCACTATACCTTCCACTGACACCAATGATGGGACACTATTCCTCCCACTGACACCAATGATGGGGCACTATTCCTCCCACTGACACCAATAACGGGTCACTATTCCTCCCACTGACACCAATGACGGGGCACTATACCTTCCCCTGACACC